TTTAATAGCAGTCAACAAATTTTCTGTAGAAAAGCAAATAAACAAAAACCTCTCATGAAATCATGAAGTTACAGTATTCAATAGTACATATAAATTAATGCCCAAAATGCAAGAATTTGGGGAATAAATGAAATTAACAAGTGAATAAGAACAAATAAAATATTATCACTGCTGTCAACTATAAACTACATCAACTGTGAACTATATTATACTTTACTTTGGCCTTATTTTCTTCTTTTCTCCCCCATCCCCCCAGTTTTGGGCCCTATTATTACAATGATTTATATGTAACACAAATGGTTCAGAAAAACTGTATTTTTACTCTGACCTTAAATGCTGTTGAAGGTTTATTAAATGACAAGGAGCTTTGCTTGTTTTCCTTAGTTTTGGTTTACCAACGTATTTTTTCTAGCTTGCAACAACAAAATACAATGATAGCCATAACAACTTTGTTGTAACTTTCTATTATAATCCCTCCCCTACTGAAATAATTTTTTTAATATAACATAGTTTGTCAAGAATGATGTTATCTTTTCATAGCAGAATGGATTAAATGATACTTTCTTTGTCTCATCCCTTCTGCCATTTTTATTTGATTTTACTAAGCATGAATCACATATGAAAATATTGTAATGACAGTATATTAAAATCTTAAAATAATTTTCAAACATTATTACATGTTTTAGAGGAAGTTTACACAGAGTAATTGAAATGTAGATGAGCTCTAAAGTAAGTTCCAATAAGGATTTTTTTTATAGGAGGTAGTTTATTGCCCACTATATATTTCTGAATATATACAATACATTTTGGATAAGACTTCTGTAACTCAGACTCCTTACAAATTTATCTTTTTGAATTCATCTACTCATCTTCCATCAACTTTCCTGAATTATTCCAATAGCTCTGTAGCTCTGTAACTCCAGTTCTTAATTCATTCCTTTTCCTAAAGTCTTGATACTGTTTCCAAAGGTCAAAAACAATATAGTAATATATGTACTTCTCTCTCTCTCTCTTTTTTTTTTTTGAGTAGGGGGTTACTGGGTATTGCATTCAAGGGAACTCGACCACTGAGCCACATCCCCAACCCTATTTTGTATTTTATTTAGAGACAGGGTCTCACTGAGTTGCTTAGTTCATTGCTTTTGCTGAGATTGGCTTTGAACTCAGGATCCTCCTGCCTCAGTCTCCCAAGCCGCAGGGATCAAAGGTGTGCACCACTGTGCCTGGCACATGTACTTCTTCATGCATTAAATAACATGGTATGGTGGCAGTTTTAATAAGTAATTTAGAAATGATACTTTGAGATATCTGTAACTATGATAGGAAGATATCTGACACTTCTATTGATGACAAAGTTGGTCACTATAATACTATGGTAGTTTGTTGCCTACATTCATTATTAAAGAAAACTTTAAATTATAGGTGAATGAAAACAAAAATGCAATTTTTTTTTTTTAAGCTCCTAGATCCCTTGCATTCTATGCCTGGATCTGGGGTGGAGATGGTAGTGGTGGGGCTCCATCAGGCTTTAAAACTACTGAAATAGTTCCTACTGTCCTAAAGGTAAAATTCCTGTCACATGGCGATTCCCAGTTATTACTCATATCTATCTTTTGCAGCTCACTTCCTGCTGAGTTAGTTTTTCTTTCAGACCTCTGGAAAGCTATCCCCTGTGCTAGCAACACTCTTTCTCTTTTCTTCCTGGCAAATTCACAATCATCCTTCAGGTGACCATTTACATATCATTCCTTCAGGAAACCAAGACTTTTAGGTGCTTTCCTAGTACATACCCACAGCATCCAGCACTTATACATGCCACAGCATTTATGACACTGTATTAAAACCACCCTCTCCCAAAAGAAGAAATAAAATTGGCCAACAAATATATGAAAAAAAAATGTTCAACATCTCTAGCAATTAGAGAAATGCAAATTAAAACTATACTAAGATTTCATCTCACTCCAGCCAGAATGGTATTTATCAGTACAAGTAATAATAAATGTTGGTGAGGATGTGGGGAATGGGTACATTCAGACATGGTTGATGGGACTGCAAACTGGTGCAAATACTTTGGAAAGCAGTATGGATATTCCTCAAAAAATTAGGAATGGAATCACCATTTGACCTAGTTATTCCACTCCTCAATATATATCCAAAGAAGTTAAAATCAGCATACTACAGTTATACAGCCATATCAATGTTTATAGTACCATAATTTACAATAGCTAAGCTATGGAACCAACCTAAGTGCCCTTCAACAGATGAATGGATAAAGAAAATGTGATATGTGTTGCCATTTACTGGCAAATGTTATAATTTCTCTTATGGCTGAGTAATACTCCATTATGTGTGTGTATATACGTGGAAGCTAACATTATCAGAGACACATGTGGGGGGAGGCGAAGAAAAAGTACAGTGAGTAGGCAAGGGAATGAAAGGATAGGAAAAGGAAAGACAGTGGAATGAATCTGACATAACTTTCCTATGCACATATATGAATACACCACAGTGAATTTCACCATTGTGTACATCCACAAGCCTGGGGTCATAATTAGAATAAAATATATTCCATCCTTGTATAATTATATTAAAATGGATTATACTATCATGTATAACAAGAACCAATTAAAATAAATAAGTAAAATTGTCCTCTCCCATTAACTGAAAACACATAAGCTGTCTAATTCCTACTTCTTTCATACAGCCTGGCACATAGTAGGATTTCAATAATTGTGGAAAGAAGAAAGGAAGGAAATTCCAACTTATTTACTTTTTCTGACCTGGAATTATACCCTTAATTTCTGTTTGACCTTCACAAGTGCAAGCTGCTGGTTGCATGGGAATCAAAAAAGTGTAGTACTCTATTTCTATATATTCACAATTTATACTAGAAAAATTATTTAGTATGATGATTGAAAGTTAAGAACAGTGTCACTATTATTACAGATCCCTATGTGATAATAAATAAAATAACAATCAATAATAATACTGATAAATAAAATTGTATCAAGAAATGAAAGATTATTAATCAAAACCAAAAATATCTATCTCAACTATGCACATATGCTCCCAAAGTTGTGGTGGTGAAGGATTAAGAGGACTCTCCCTTAGGGATATCTATCAAAATCAGTGAGGTAGACAGAGTTTTCAAGTTATAGATATACTGAATATCCCATTATTCAGTCACTGTTGTTGAGAGGAAATGTCTACTGTGGCAATCAAAGGATGAGAGCCACTGTTTTAAACCGATCCAATAAGCACATTAAGTAAATGTTCTTGGGGCTGGGTTGTGGCTCAGTGGTAGAGTGCTTGTCTGGCATGTGTGAGGCATTGGGTTTGATTCTCAACACCCACACATAAATTAAAAAATAAACAGAATAAAAGGTCCCCAACAACTAAAAAAATATATTTTTAAAAAAGGTAAATGTTCTGCCACAAGACGTTACAAGACAATTGATAAAAGTGGTTTCTGTATCACTTTAGCTAAGCTGAAAGTCACAAAGTTGCAGGGGTGAGAGAGAGAGAAAGAGAAAGAATACAAAGTACTATGGATGATGGTATGAACTTTTAGGGTCCAGTCAGGAATTTAAAACAAAAATAGGCTAGAAGTGTGTCAGAAAACAATACAAGACAAGATAAATGGAGTGAAATCAGTGTACAACTGCTAAAAGGGGGAGGAGAATTCAACTCATCTTCTGGGGAGAGTCTGAATCACTTTGGTTGGAAGGTATCTAAGTAGTAATAGGTCAGAATATGACTATAGGGGTTCTGAGCAATCAAGTTTAGAAATGTTGAAGGCTGGGGTTGTAGCTCAGAGGGAGACACTTGCCTACCAGGCATGAGGCTCTGGGTTCAATGTTCAGCACTAGAAAAAAATGCAGATTTTATTCTAGGCAAAATGGGGCACTAATGGTTTGAAGAAGGGTACATTGTAGGATTAAACTGTGGGGAAGATTAATCCAAGGGTTCTAAATAGGGTGAATTAAGAGATTGAGAAGGGAAGCAGAGAAACCAAGGACGGATCATAAACAGAACTGCTTGACACAAGATTAGCTGACAAGAAGTCTATGATAATCTACAAGACGGATTCTTCAGCCTTCAATGTGCTGCTGAGGGTCGAACTCAGGGCCTCACAAATGCTTGGCAAGTGGTCTACCACTGAGCCACAACCCTAGCCCCGCTATTTGGTATCTTAAATATATTATCAGCCAATAATTAATTCTATTTCACAAGTTCTGCTTTCCTCTTTTTGTTATATTTGTTCCTTAAGATTTTCATTAGAAAGGCACAATATAAACATAACAAAAATAAAACAGTACTTTTAATTTCCAAAAATTTCACATATATACACTTACACTTTATACGGTATCGGCAAAATAGTAGTGTTTCAAATGTTTTACACGGCAATATCATTTACCTTCAAGTAGGGAACTTGATCTTTACCTTTAACAGATGGAGGTCTTTTCTGCTTAATATTCACGGTCCACTAAAACATTAAGTTTTATAAAAATGTAATAGGATTTCTTAAGAGTTGATAATGAAATCGGGAAATTGTTAACCAGCTAATCTTTAGGGTTAATATTTGAAAAAAGTCATCTACTAAGACAACTTCATACTATACAAAAGAGCGATCCTTTTAGTTATAAAGTTATAAGCTATGTTCGGGTGGGGTATATGACATGCACACCACCTGCAAATTCGAATGTCATTTCACTGACCAGGGAGGGAGTGAGGGGCGCGATGTACCCAGAAATCCTGCTATAAGAGCCTTGGACTTAAGACACGCCCACACTTCTATCCACCAAATTCATGGGTTTGAAGTCGGTTGCCTTCACCTTCCCTGGAATCCTCCCCAGCATGGCTGTGTATAGCTTGCCACCGGCCTCGAATTTTCTCTGGGGCCATGGCCAGAAAGGAGCAAGTCCCACCTATCGAGGGACCCCGCGGAGATGTCAGAGGGAAGAGCCTGGGTAGCCTAGCTGAAAAGGCCCGTCGCATACCTGTGCTAAGGCGGGGAGGCTGCTGTCGCGTGCCGCGACATTCAGGCGGCCGTGATGCCAGGCCGCTCCTGCCCCTGCCAGGGTCACGCCGGCCACTGCTGCTACCAAGGGGCCAGGGCTTGGCACGGCTCGGCGGCTGGCAGCGAGTCCCTGCCGCAACCTTCCGCCCCAGGCCGCTAGCCGAGCGCTTCTCCCCGCAGCCGCCGCCATCTTTGCGGAAGCACTAGAGTGCCGCGCACCGCACCACCCCCCACCCTCTGATGACCTGCGAACTCTCGCGTTGCTTAGCTATCGCGAGATGTAGGCGTTCTCAGCCTCGTCTCTGGGTTCTGATCCTTGGGTGCACCTAGGGAAGCAACGCTGGGAGCAGTGAGAGGCTATCCTGGGTACAGGGGCCGCATTCTTTGGCTCAGAATGTCAAAACAGTTCTAACAGGCTTTCCTAATCCAAGCAAAACAAGGTAATACCATCATTGTGTAGATTAGATAATCTGGCTAAGAGAAAATGGATCAAGGACTAAGGGTTGATAATTACAGTGATTCAAGGAACTTCCATTAAGTAGTCAGTCTGATGTAGAGTGTGACCTTTTTTGTTTGTTTGCAAAACTTGAAGATGGCGGTGATTAAATGGCCATAGACTTGGCACCTTTGACCTACTTAAAGGAAAGCTAGTCATCCTTTGGTCCCAGGAGAATGCTGTGTTTGCTGGGCACTGTGGAAGTTGGAGAGGACACATATTTGCAGTGTAAGATAGGCACTTATGATAGTAAGTGATTTGTGATCAACGACGGGCATAATCTTTATAGTAGAATCACATCCCTGATGTGGTTGGGTTGTGGAACTGAAAAAGTCTGCATCTTTCATAACACTATTTGTTCCAACTCCACAAACCTGCCTATGTTAAGAACAACTTTAAGAAAAAAAAAATTTATAGTTGTAGATGGACGGCATGCCTTTATTTTATTTATTTATTTATGTGTGGTGCTGAGAGGATCGAATCCAGTGCCTCACACATGCTAGGCAAGTGCTCTGCCACTGAGCTACAGTCCCAGCCCAAGAACAACTTCTTTTTAAGTATTAACTCATATTTATTGTACAAATCAGTGGATTTCACTATGACATTTTTATACATGCATATCTTGTGCTTTAATAGCATCCACTCAGTCCCCCCCTTCTCTAATAATAGTAGTCTCTCTTCTGTTTGCAGGCCTTTCTTGGACTCTCCACATGTGAGAGAAAACATAGGATATTTGTCTTTCTGTGTCTGGCATATCTCAGTTAACATGATGATTTCCAGTTTCATCCATTTCCTGCAAATAACATGATTCCATTCTTCTTTATGGATGCATAATATTCCATTTGGTATATACACACTATTTTCTTTATCCATTCATCTGTTTATGGTTACTAAGGCAGATTTCAAAACTTGGCTATTGTGAATACTGCTGCAATAAAGATAGGTATGCTGGTATCTGTCTTTGGGGTGCTGATTTTATTTTCTTTAGGTATATACCCAGGAGTGGTATACCTGGATCATATGATAGTTCTGATTTTTTGAGGAACTTTCATACTTATTTCCATAGTAGCTTAAGAATTTCTTGACAATCAGGATTTATATCATGCTATTCAGAAATTTACATGAGCTGCAGATACCTTTTTAAAAATATTTATTTAGTTGTAGATGAACACACAGTATCTTTTTTTATTTTTATGTAGTGCCGAAGATTGAGCCCAGTGCCTCACACATATAAGGCAAGCACTTTAGCACTGAGCTACAGCCTCAGCCCCTGGAGATACCTTTTTAAAGCCCATTTTAAGTAATATCTATCAGCTTGCCTAGCCTCTGATAAACTATAGTTACTTTTATTTATTTATTTATTTTTTGTATCGGGGATTGAATTCAGGGGCACTCAACTATTGAACCACATCCTTAGCCCTATTTTGTATTTTATTTAGAGACAGGGTCTCACTGCATTGTTTAGTAGCCTCACTTTTGCTGAGGCTGGCTTTGAACTCTGGATCCTCCAGTCTTAGCCTCCCAAGCCATTGGGATCACAGGTGTGTGCCACTGTGCCTGGCTATTGCACTTACTTTTTAAAAATGTGTTCTATTTATGCCACTTTTGTAGCAATCAAATTTTAAAATTTATTTTTTAACTACAATAAAATATACAAAACTTTATCATTTTAAGCATTTTAAGATCAGTGTCAGTAAGTTCAAATCACTTCATTGTGCAACTCCATCTCTAGGACTTATTTCATCTTGCAAAACTGGTAAACATTTTTAAAAATGATCTCTTCCACATCTGTCTTGTTCACTCCTTCCTATACTCATAGTCCTAACTGTTCTTTCATTTCTGCTAAATCAAATCCTATCCTGGCCTTTTAACTTTGATTTTCTTATGAACTCCCTGACAAAGAACTTGATTTCAGACAATCACTATTTGCTGGATGCTCAATTTAAATTTTGTTCCAACAGTGCTTGATGGTAGCTATTATTCCACTTTGGACTGAAAGCTGGCATCAGATGCAGCAGCACACCTACTCCATGTTCTTATCACCAGGAACCCAGATGTTTTCCCTACTGCAGGTGTGGATGAATACCTCAGTCTTGTTTGTTCTTTTGGTGGACAGACAACTTGGCTTCATTTTGTAGCGTCTGATCCTTTATTCTTTGCTCTTCACTTTTCCTGAGGAAATTTAATTAACTCCTTGTTCAGTCTCTTAAAGGTTCCAGGCTATTACAGTCCCTACTAGGAAATGTAGTAACGTGGAGCCCACCCAAGTCAAAGGTGCCAAGACTTCTGGTCATATAATCACTGCCATCTTGAAGTTTTGCAAAGCAAAAGTAACAACAACATGACAACAAAAGGCTGCCACACTAAATCTAATTTGACCACTTAATGGAAGTTCCTTGGATCACTTTGTTATTATCTATCCTAAATCATTGCTGCCTTCTTCTTGGCCAGCTTATCTAAATTTATCTGGAGTCAGAGATGCCTCACTTTTTTCCCAGCTGATGAAACCACTTTCAGTGTTTCTTTCCAGGCAGGATGTACATGGACTCAACTTACAGTGACTTGTAAAGCAAACTTCCAGATTTGAATCCTGGCTTTACCAGGATGATCGCTGTGATCTGGGGCAGGTTAATCACTCTGAGTCCCAATTGTTTCATCTGTAAACAGCTCTCTCACAATTTGGGAGATGATCACTGATTTGGGGCAAGGCATTTAATCTCTAAGTCTCAATTTTCTCATCTGTAAACAACCCTCTCACAGTTAGGAGTGAGGCGATTAAATAGCATTTATATGAAGTGACTAGCCAAATACCTGACACATGGTGGTGCTCATGACAGATAAGAGTTTATCTTTTTCAAGGTTTGGCTTACTTCTCCTCTGTGCTCACAGATGAGCTTCAGTGAATATTCAGGATTCCAGGCTGCTAGCCCACCTTTACTTGACACTTCCTGGTGTTTCTTTCTTTCTTTTTTTTAAAAAGAGAGAGAGAGAGAGAATTTTTAATATTTACTCTTTAGTTTTCGGCGGACACAACATCTTTGTTTGTATGTGGTGCTGAGGATCGAACCCGGGCAGCATGTGAGCGCTACCCCTTGAGCCACATCCCCAGCCCCCTGCTGTATCTTATCTATCCTGACTGTGTAGACTTTGGTCTGTTTTCATCTCTGCTGACTTTGGTAATTGTTGGCATATGTTCTGTTTTTCTGGATTATTGAAATCTAGCTTGTTTCTGTCCTCTGCTGATTATAGGACTTCTGGATATGTTTCGATACCTTGTGGATGTCTTATCTTGTAGTTTATTCTTGGCTTCCAGAAACTACAGTCTTTACCTATTTAATTCAAAGTGTGTAATTCACAGTTCCTCTACCCACTTAATGATTCCCAACATCTAACATTCAGTCATGATCCCAAGCTCAAAATAGATGCATATTCCTATTAGCTCATTTGACATATTTTAAAATATTCTCCCTCAGTTTGACATACTTGTGGATGATAATGTCTTTTTCTTTTTTTCTAGCACCTACCAAGCACAATGCCCAGCACATGTTAGACATCCAATGAATGACTATATGAATAAACATATAGCACAAGAGAAACTCTGTGGTACTCATTTCCAAATTTTTGGCATCATATGTAAAGAAATATATTATTCCTTTGGTGCAATTTATTTTTTAAGACCAAAGCCTCATTTTAAATCATTGTCTTTTGCTGAAAATCTTTGAACTTACTTGGAAAACTGCTTTGTAATTTGTTCTCACGTTATGTGCCCAGGCTTCTTCTATAAGTCCCACTTAAAATTTAATTTTTTCAAACTTTTCTTCTGCAGAGGAAATAAATCTTTTAATAGAACCAATCTCTAGCCAGCTAACCATTCTAAGTATGAAAATTTCCCTGACAGCTGCTGACATTTGTCTAAGCACATTGACTATCTTGGTCTTTTTGGGCTCTGGCTTTGTTCATTTCTTCCTCACCAGCTGTAGAGAAAGTCCTGGGCTGGGATGTATTTTCAACCATGCAGTTTATAAACTAATTCCCAAATAAGGAGCTGCTGCTTCTCAAGAAAGCTATAAAATCTATCTAGGCTGTTTTAAATATTAATTAAAGAAAACCAGAATGGAAACATGGATAGTTTCAAAATATCAGTCTTAATTCACTAACTCTGTGCCCTTTTCTGTGAAAGGAGGACAAAAATGATATGTCAAGAAAACTACCCTCAAGGAGCTTTATTCCTATTGGAGGGACTAGATCTGAATTTCGAAACAATGCCAGGTAGTCTTTAATGATTGGGCTGCACAAAGGAGGAAGGGTGTGGAAGGCTAGAGCAGTGGAAAAAAGCATGTAGGGAAAAGAGCAAATCTGATGTGGATCTTAGTGGAGTCCATGGGAGGTTCCAAGACAGGAGGAGAGATAGGGCTGAGAGTGTGGGGAGGGCTAGTTATGGTGTGTGTTTACCAGGCTTGGAGTGTCTTGGTAGCCAGAAGGTGCCGTGCAGTGATTTTTCACAGCAGGGACAGTCATGCACCACTTAAAAATGAGACACATTCTGAGAAATGCATTGTTAGACGATTTTATCATGTGAGCATCAAGAATGCCAGATAGTTTAGTCTTCTACACATCTGGGCTATGTAATATATACAGGGTATAGCCTGTTGCTCCCAATGTCATGATGAACAAAACAAAATGAGATTAAATCATATGCA